CTCATACCCGAACTAGGCATTGGGTAGCATAGCAAGAACGCTCATACTCGGTCCCCTTGACGCGAGCCTTGTCGGCCTCGGGGAGCACGGAGTAAAGGTACTCCGCCACCTTATACGGCTCCGGATGATTCCAGAGTCGGGACGGCATCTTGACCAACGCGTCCTTTTAGGTAACGGACGATTCTGTCCGCTTGGAAGCAGCGTTTCCCTCGTCCACCTTCTCTTTACCCTTGTCGACCTTACGACGCTTAGGGTCACCAAGGAGCAAGGGAGGGTCGCGATCATCCTGAGGCCTCTTGCGAGCACTCGGACCTGAGGGCTTGCGTTTTCGAGCCGTGGCAGCCGACTGTGCACTAGATCTGTCGGGTGGAACAGGAGCAGTAGGCGGCTTCTTCACCTCGAAACGCTTGAGTGTGTTAACTGAAAAAATGGCAATAAAAGCAAAGGTTAGAAGAGAATAAGAGACGACTCGGTATTGAAAGAAATGCTGGACAGCTTACGAGGATCATCGAGCTGAGGAAGATCGTCATAACAGACGATTTGGGCATGATTGACCAACCCACGGTCTTTTATTATGCGTCGAGCGCTATAAGTGCATTTATTCAACTCTGCTAAGAGTCTTTCGAAATCCTCGGATCGAGACCGTTTATTCTGTTTAATTTTGGTGCTTATCCAGTCATTTGTATAAGGATAAGCACCGACGAGAGGACGAATGAAGAAAAATTTCGACTTCCACTCGGGGACGTTTGAAGAAAGATCATCAAGAAAGGTCACGCCGGGACGATGGATCAAACAATGGGCCCCTTTCTGAAGCCGATAACTATAACAGTAATGAAAAAATTCGGCCGAAAAAGAATGAAGAAATAAACGGGAAACAACGATGAAGGCTATCATGATACAGAGAGCATTGGGAAAAAACTGATTTATTGGGATTTTATACAAGTCACTAATCTCCAAAAGCTCGGCTTGTATGGGAAAGCGTAGGCCAAAGATAACTTGGTCGACAAAGAAGGTATAACAACCCTCGGGGGGACAGACAAAATTGCCATCGGGACCCGGGATAACTAACTCCCAATCGGAGGGGAGCCCGCTGAACTGCCTAAAGCTCTCGACTCGAGCGGCAGAGGCGTATGAAAAAGGATTTAAAATGGCTAATTTGGCCATAGTACAAGCGATCGAAACAACCTTTCGAGGATCGAGAGGTGTAACTAAGGATACATGTACAGGACTGGTATTATACACAGGGACATCTAACAACCTAAGGGGAATACCTTGAGGAATCAAGTCGAGACGAGGAGAGTTTCCTCAAGGACTCTTTGAGACCTCAACTAGTCCACCGTCCAACAAGGCTTGATCATATTCGGCCCAGTCGACCTTCGGGGTTGAAGTA